GGGGAGGAGGGGAGGGAAGGAGGAACAATCACAGGACCCGGTCTTCACCTGGGCCTAGTCGTTCGGTCCAGCGTCGCTTACAGCTTTGTTAGCGTAAACGGCATCTCCTTAGCGTTTCTCCAAACGACACTGAGGGAACCACCTGCGAGCCCGCGGGTGTGAAGGTGTGGCATCCGCCTCAGTTAGGTCATGTGCAAACCCTAAGGAGCGTTTCTATTCTGCCTGTGGCTTCTTCTAGCGTTTTCATGGCTTCCTGTCTTACGCTTAAGCCCTTTATCCATTTCGAGAGTTTATTCTTGCGTGTGGTGCACGTTGGTGGCCTAGTTTCATTGTTTTGCCTGCACCTGCCCCGTTTTCCAGCACCATTTCCTGAAGAGACGACTGACTCCATTGGACACGGACAATAGGGTGGTGAAGGCCTGGGGGCGGGGGGTGTAATAAGAAGTCAATAGGGCAGCGGTTCTCAACCTTCCTAATGCCGCGACCCTTTAATACAGTTCCTCATGTTGTGGTGACCCCCAACCATAAAATTATCTTTGTTGCTACTTCATAACTATAACGTTGCCGCTATTATGAGTCGTCATGAAAATATCTGATATGCAGGATGTATTTTCATTGTGACAAATTGAACATAATTAAAGCATAGTGATTAACCACAAAAACAATATGTAATTATATATGTGTTTTCTGATGGTCTTAGGCAACCCCTGTGAAAGGGTCGTTCGACCCCCAAAGGGGTCGCGACCCACAGGTTGGCGACCCACAGGATGAAAACCGCTGCAATAGGGGGAAAGGGGACATATGTAATACTTTCAACAAGAAAGATTTTTCAAAAAAGAGCATTTGTGTTCTAACCGAGCCCACTCCCAGAGGAGAGGCCTGGGTGCACTAGGGGAGGCGCCCGTCGGCGTTTCGGGGGGACGTGTGTTTGTAGCGGGAAAACTCGAGTCCCAGACAGATGAGCAAGTTCTCCACCCACCGTCCGGACCGACCGCGCGCGCGTGGGAAAGTGAGGTCTGGGCCTTGCGCGTAGGATGCGTGATACTCGGGTTGGTGCGAACTCCGAGGACGAGCGACCGTTCGAACTTCCCTTCTTCCTCTCGTTGGTGGTCGGCATTCCCGTGCCCTGGCAGTACTGTAGGCCCTCGGAAAGCTGGCACCTCTCTGTACGGCGGTTTTCCCTGTGGGCTCCTCTCATCTACACATGTCTGTCCCTGAGGCTGGCTTTACGATGTGGGTGAAAGGATGAAGGAGGCGGCGATAGTACCTACGCAGACGGTAACGTTAACATGCAGCTTCCCCGGGCACCTTGCAACGATAGGCCAAAGCCAGCGAGATAGGAGATGACAGGGAATGATGGGAAGGCACCCAAGTTGCTTTCTTAGAAAACAGTGGTATCATTTCAGCTTTAAATAGGGATAAACATCATGTAAGGACAGATGAAATCATCCAGGGAATAGTACGGGCTGCATCGCGATGCGCGTGCCTTGTTGAACTGAAGTTGTCCGGACCAGCGGTCGCCAACCACTGGTGGTCCTTGAGGTCCGAAAGGTTGGCGACCGCTGGTCCAGACAACTGAAGAGTGTCTGGTTTTTTTTGTCGTTGTTGTTTTGTTTTGTTTTTTAAGAGTGTCTATTTTGTGGTGACGTGGAACCTGTCGCTTTTAGCGTCTCCTCCGATGCGAAGAGTCTGTCATTCTATTCCGATCCAGGGAGACCTGGTACATACATCCTTTCATTGTAAAACGTACAAAATGCAAAGGGGATTCAGTTTTATTTTTCTTTCCTTTTTTTATTTTTTTAATATATTTTATTGATTTTTTACAGAGAGGAAGGGAGAGGGATAGAGAGTTAGAAACATCAATGAGAGAGAAACATCGATCAGCTGCCTCCTGCACACTCCCCACGGGGGATGTGCCAGCAACCAAGGTACATGCCCTTGACCAGAATCGAACCCGGGACCCTTGAGTCCGCAGGCCGACGCTCTATCCACTGAGCCAAACTGGTTAGGGCTTCTCATTGCTTTTTAGAGAGAGTGGAAGAGAGAGGGAAAGACAGAGAGAAACATCCATGTGAGAGAGACACATCGATTGGTTGCCTCCTGCACGAGTCCCACCAGGGCCCCGGCCGGGGAGGAGCCTGTGACTAAAATACGTGCCCTTAACCGGAATAGAATCTGATCCCCTTGGGTCTGCAGGCTGGCGCTCTATCCACTGAGCCGAACCGGCTAGGGCCAAAGTGGTTTCAATTTTAAATACCACAGGCCAACAGTATACGTTTGGTTTTGCTCTGTGAGTGTAAGGTGGTAGGAGAGGGCGCAGTTAGCATGCAGACAATGAGAGGATGGGATGAGTGAGCGGGAGAGAGGCAGGGGTGAGACCCCCAGGAGAGGGGGACGCAAGCCTGTCTGGGGGTGCTGGCCGCACTGTGGCTGTCAGACTGCCCGGGCCATGTGAGTCCGGGTACTTTCCGGAGTCATTTGTAGGGACACACCCTCGGAGGCCAATTACAGCTGGGACAGTCTGCAGGGGGATGTACCCGTGTCCCTCTCCAGGGTGCGTGAAGTGGAATCAGCAGCCTCGCAGTTCTTGTCCGTGGCGGGAGCTCGCCGCCTGAGAAGGGGCTGGACTCTGTAACCATCGATGTCCAGCGGCCGCCCTGCCATCAGGGGCCCACGCGGTGCCAACACCAGCGGGTCCCTCCCGCCCCCAACTCTGCGTCCACATTCCTGGGCGTCGCCCCTAAGCCAGACCCGCACCCTTTCTGTGCCCGAAAGTATGGGATACGTTTTTTGTGTGTATGCATCTTCCACGTTTTTAATGTTGCCTCTTGCTGCATCCTGTTTCCTCACGCGTGCCAAGATGCCCTCTGTTCCTAATAGACCCTGAGACGGGCCACGCACACTAGGGCTCGGCCGGCATCGTGGCTCGCGGGGGCACTGCCAGGAGCGGGGCTACCTCAGTTCCTCGGTGCCAACTCGCTCTGCCCAAACGCATCGGGCGATTGAAAATTAACGGCGAGGAGGCCCCTCTGACTGGCATTTCCAAGAGCAGCCGGGCAGCGGCCACTTCACATTCAGGCGGCTCCCTCCTCTTCTCAGGTGCCCGCACAGCCTCCTCACATATTGGCATTTCCCTGCCCGCTCCGCACTGTCAAATGCTCGCCTGTATTTCCCTGGTGCCAAATCCTCCCTGGATTTTCAGTGCAATCTTTGTTCCGACAGGAAGAAATATACTTTAATCAGGGGTGAGCTGGAGCGGCTTATGCCAGGTGAGCCACATCGCTCAGGCCCAGACACGTCCCCGTGAAATGCGCAGGCGGACAGCGCGAAGGAGGGGGCGGCTCAGCAGAGGTGTCCCCGCGGCTGGCAGGCGGGAGATGAATGTGCCCTCCTGGGTGTAGTTTCCCTCCCGCCTCATTTTGTTTTCCTGCTGCACAAGAACAATGTGAAAATGGAATTTTCCAAGTTTTCTTAATGAATATGTTTAAAGAGGCTCAGACTGTAGAATTCTCTCCAGTGGTGATGCTGGAGCAGAAGACCTACTACGTGTTCCCAAGAGCAAAGCGGTGCCTACACTCCCCATCGCTGGCCTGTGAGGGTGAACTTGAAGCTGACCCTGGAGCACAGTGGGGCAGCAGTGACATACTTCTCCATGTGCTGCCGCTGGGCCGCACACTCCTGGGCCACACACACCAGGCTGCACACATCTGACTGCACACACCAGGCTGCACACACCAGGCTGCACACACCAGGCTGCACA